AAAAAAAAAAAAAAAAAAAAAAAAAAAAAAAAAAAAAACAATAATAATATTAAAAAAAATCTACTCACCTCTATGTTGTATAACTTCTAAAAATAAAAAACAACAACAATAATAATAATAATAATAACAATAATAAAAAGAATTACTAACCTCTATGTACTAATGTAACCCTAATTTTTTCTCATTAGTAAGAGAGTCACATCACGTTGATACAGAATCGATACCGTCACCATGACTATAGATGTTGTAGGAAGCATTACAAGGTGATGGTTTGGGGACGACCCGTCACGTCCACGACTCGAATTTCTTCGATCCATGGTATCAATGATGGCTGACCTTGTTGCAATGCGTATGGAATTCAAACCGTTTTATGGATCTGAAGATAATGTCATTGCAAGGTGATGGTTTGGGGATGACCTGTCACGTCTACGACTCGAATTTCTTCGATCCATGGTATCAATGATGGCTGACCTTGTTGCAATGTGTATGGAATTCAAACCGTTTTATGGATCTAAAGATGACGTCACCCCGCAGTGGATGAGGAAGGAAGAGCTAGAGCTGCTTCATCATGCGCTAAAAGAAGTGACATTTGGGCAGGACGAACCAAATCTTGACTGTTGGATGCCCATGTACAGGCGCAACCCACGGGCGACCCATCACTTTTGTGTTTAGTTATCAAATTTCTAATCAAATTTATTGAATGAGGTTATTATAATATCTAGGTCTAATGAATGAGAATTTAGAACTATAAAATTGAGTCGAATGAGAGTTCAGATAGCCATTCAAATTTCATCTATTACATGAAACAATAACTATAGAATAACCAATGATTGATATATCACTCCTAAAAATGGATTGATACAAACAAAAAATCACTCCTAAAATTGATTTTGTAGAATAAATTTAAATTCAACAATAGAGAAATTGTCTAAAATTATATCACTTAAAGTACTAAATTTAAATTCAACAATAAAGAAATTTTCTAAAATTATACTACTCCCTTTTGACGGTTCTCGAGTTGATTTGGAGATTATGTCATGACCTTTTTAAAGGTAATAGATTTCATCGAGAACAAAAATAAAGTGTAAAAATGTCATCCTTACATTGAAAAAAAATAATATTTACTCACCTTTGTGGGTACATCATACAAATAAAAAACAATAATAATAATAATATTACTAACCCAATAATCCTAATTTACATCATACAAATAAAAAACAATAATAATAATAATATTACTAACCCCAATCGAATCCTAATTTACATCATACAAATAAAAAACAATAATAGTAATAATATTACTAACCTCTATCGAATCCTAATTTTTTTTTCTCATTCATACCAGAGCAGTCACATCAGGTCGATACAGAATCGATACTGTCACACCTACTAGAACAGTCACATCAGGTCGATACAGAATCGATATTGTCACACCTACTAGAACAGTCACATCAGGTCAATACATACACATCAGGTCGATACAGAATCGATATTGTCACACCTACTAGAACAGTCACATCAGGTCAATACATAATCGATACCGTCACCCATCACCGTACCAGAACAGTCACATCAAGTCGATACAGAATCGATACCGTCACCGTGACTGACTATAGATGTTGTAGGAAGCATTGTAAGGTATAATACTAATATATTAAAAATTGCTACAAATATATATTTCTAAATTAAAAAATAT